ATACTAGGCAAGTGCTGTGGCTCTGAGCCACAACCCCAGCCCTAGATGTTTTTAATTTTATAAAAAAGTATGTAATTTTTTGAGGCTCATCTTACACACTGAATATTGTGTTTCTAAAATTAATCCATTGTGCATTTTGTTGGCCTACTAGATAACTTTCCATTGTGTTACTATACTACAGTTTTTATATCTGCTCTTCTGATGATAGAGTGCTACTGCTGTTCATCTTTAGGAGATAATTGCTAACTACTTCCAAAGTGGTTGCCTCATTACTTTTTACCATGTAAACAAAATCCTWTGGAATCTTACTGTCTTCAGCATTTGGTATTGTCACATAAGTTTTTGCCAGTTGAATGGGTTATCTGAATGTCTTAATTTGCATTTTTCTRTTTACTAGTAATATTGTTTACTAGTAATAACTTAATACTGTTTACTAGTAATAACTTGATATAGTTATTTCCTCTCTTAAATGTCTGTGCATATTCTTTGCCTATTGGATTKTTTGTAGTTTTCTCATTAATTTGTATGAGTTCTTTAAACATTMTTGACATTATCTTTTGTTGGCTGTGTTTTCCAGTTTTTAACTACATCCTTCATTGTTTTGGGGGTGTATATTAATGAAAAACTTCTTAATTTGAATATAGTCATATTTMATCCAAGGTATACAAGCCATTTGTTTTATCATAATTTTACATATAAAAAGCTGTTTCTTAGCTATTAGAGTTCTTCCTACTTTACTGGCATTTAAAAAATATTTTATTGTAAARTAAAACCAGATTCAGAAAACCACACAATACAAATATATGGATTAAAGAGTCATCATAAAGCAGATACTCTAACCGTTGTAACTATGATCAAGTGAGGAGCAAGGACTTTTCCAGCCATCCCAGAGCCCCTTCTATGTACCTGGCATAGCTCTTTCCTTCAACATAAAAGTAATCTCATCTCTTATGATAAAGTGGGATTTGGCTAATATATATTGTTCTCATGACCCTTTAATGCTACCTTCCCCTTTTGACTCTCAATCAAGAAAGCCTGTTARAATTTGAATGGATTACATTGATTGTCAGGAATATTAATTTTATATTAAGAAGTAACTTGCTGCTGGGTGCAGTGGTGTAATCCCAGCAGCTTGGGAGGCTGAGACAGAAGGATTGTGAGTTCAAAGCCAGCCTCAGCAACTCARTGAGACCCTGTCTTAAATAAAATACAAAATAGGGCTGGGGATGTGGCCCTAAGTTCAATCTCTGGTACAACCCCTCAAAAAAATAAAATAAAATAAATAAAGAAGTAATTTGCCAACTTTGATATTTATTATTAGAAACAAATTACTTGCCATATACTACACAATACCCAGTTATAAAATACTATTTAGGCTTTGCTGCTTAACCGCTTGAACATGGGATGTTTTGGGTTTTTTTTAATGCTCTGCATTCYTGAGAAACTTTAATCAT